ATTGGGGAGGGAGAGTGTGCTTCTGCTCTCTTCTTGAGGAGGGAAAAAGGGTGGAAAGTGAAAGGGAGGGGGGGAAAAACCAGGCACCCCACGTGGGGGAAAAAAAAAGGTCACTTCTGCTTCATCCCTTGAGGGAAAAAAAAGACATCCGATGGGGAGAGTTGAGCAGAACTGGGAAGCCTTGACCCTTTCTGGGCTTAAGGGCGCTTCCTGGGTGCTTCCTCTCCTGGAGCAAAAGGCATCCAATAATTTGCAAGCCTTTTTTTTCTCTCTTTTAAACATGCGGTTACTTAGGACGCACAGATTGCATAGCGAAAGGGAATCCTGTCCTTTCTTTTCCATCTGTTGGTCGAGGCTGATGCCCTTACACTGAGTTGGCCTCGTCCCCTGTGGAGGCTGCTAAGAGTCAATTTAGGACTAACTTTCTGCAGTCCGAGTTCCAGCTTTGCAGGCCCGTTTTCTAGCAACCCTCTTCACAAACGAAACTGAGAGGTCTCCCCTCCGTCCACATTTAATTCGGAACATATTTTGGAAGTGACTGGTGGGTCATGTGGGAATATTGAGTTTCTTTCCTTTTGATGGAAGAGATGCTGGCTTTAATGCTGTTGGGATCAACACATGTGATGCATAAATCACCAGATGTTGCGCATCTCATTTATTTGTGTGTTGGTATTTTGCAGATAATTGGATGGCATCCTTTCGCTTTGTGTTCTGAATTCATTTTCTGAGAAACAATACTCATATGATACTTATATGAGCATTTATGTTCTTTACATATTGTGAAGAAAATTGCACTAGCAGCCTTGCTCAGGGTGCAGGATTTAGAATTGTTTCACATTACGCTAATATTTTAATTTTATGTAATATAAAAGACAGCTTTTATGGCCACAATGCTTCCATGTTTTAATTGGGAGTTCTGTATCAGGACATTATTATCTTCTTCCTTTTTCTTTTTTTTTTTCTTTCTTTTTTCTCTTTTAAAGTAGCTTCTCAATAACTTCTCTTACTCACAAACTTTTTCCAAAAGATTTAGTACCTAGTCTCTTAAATGACCTCCTGGGTCAAGACTATAAAATTAATGAAACCCACCAGACCAAACCAGTCACTTGCATAGAAGTTGTCTGCCAGAAATAGTTGAGTGAGTTTTACATCTGAAAAGGAAACAGGAGGACTGGGTTGATTTTACTGAAGAATTTAACTTACTGTTGTTTTGCAGAAGATATTTGTAGGGTTATTTTATTCTGCTATATGCAAAAGCTTGGGGAAATTGATGGCTTTAAGAAGTAAGATGCCTGAATATATAAATAGCCATTTAAATAATTAAGATTGATATAAAATAACGGCTATAAAAGGAGACATGAAAAATGCACTGTGGTCAGTAATTTGATCTGTGCCATGCTTCATAACTACTATATTTGTTTTATTTCTTCCCTGTATTTCATTCTGTATTGGAACTTCCATATTATAAATATATATTGCTGGTTTTAATTTCATATAACACAGAAAAAATCAGAAAATTAGTGGTGGTAGGAAAGATATAATTAAAGTATTTTCTAAAATATCTTTTTCACATCATGTAGTTCTTTTCAGAAGTTACTGTCAGAAACCTTTTATCCCGTGGTCTAGCTCCCAGGAAGGTTTGACATTATTTCATCAAAGCAGACAAAAATTTAAAAACCCCTAATATTCATTTCAATGCTGGCCACACATTAAAATTTAATTGCTGCATTTGTTCTCTATAACTCTAATCCAACAGAACTGTTTGCACCAATAGAAAAAGCACATAGTTACTGCTTTCTGCGGGGAGACATTGTGTGGTGATAGCATGTTGGGTATTTTCTCAATAAGGGTGTTTTGAGCAGAACAATAACTATTCAGATTCTGTTGTACATAACATATATTTCATATCCTAGGTTTGGATGCCCAGATACATTTCTCCATACCTTTCCTGTGCATGTTTCATGCACACAACCTCTCCCATGTTTGCACTTAATGTGCTGATGTTGTACATAAAACTCCTGGTACTGGCAGTTGCTGCTAAGTTGTGCCATTTTGTTACAGTTGGAGCAATATGCAAAGCCTGGGTATTTATTCCATTAGGGAGCAGTCTTTATGGATCAGTAAAAACACACTACCTGTTATTAAATCTGAATTGTTTTTTGCAGGCATTTGTGAAGGATGTACATGAAGATTCAATAACAGTTGCATTTGAGAATAAGTACGTATATTCTTCAAACAAAATAATGAAATACATATTTTATAACATGTTTAGAATCCACAAATGGTGCATGTTTGTGTTGGATGAATATAAATAATCAAAAACCTAAAAGTTCAGTTTTGATCTTGCTGTAATCTTATGGTTACTTGCAGTGAAAGAGACATGTTCACTTTTTTTTAACATTGCAGATGGGGTCAATGTTGGGGGGCAAATGCATCTTACTATTTCCTTTATACACAGCTTCCATACTTGACGTTAAGAATGTGGTAGTGCTGCAATTCTGCACACACTGATAACTGTTTCCCTTTCCAGTTTAAGAATTACACACTTTACACTTGGATACTTGTTCTGAGTGATGTCCTGCACAAATATGTTGGCAGATAACCCAGATCATTTTACACAATGCAGTGGAGTGAAAGAAATGGGCTGAAATCCTGTTGATTAGCATAGTAAGCCACACTAAACTTGGCCCATTAAGTTAATGGGGATTTGGTGAGTTGGCTCCTCTGTACATTCCGTTGATTCAAATCATCTTGTACAGTTGTGACTTACTAGGTTAAACAAAGTTCCAACTGATGTAAGCTTACCTGAATCAGTGAAACTTAAATAGGAGTAGGTTCTCCAAATCTCCACTGGCTTAGTGGATCTATCGTGGTACAACATTCTATATCAGGGAATAGGATTTTATCCAGTATGGCAAAGATTAATCAATTTCACCATATACATTATTGTATGCTCATTGTGTTGTACCGTAATGGATGTGTACATTCATTAATTCAAATTGCAACTTCATGTACCCTATTAGTAAAGTCTTAAACATTGTAACTTGTGTTTATTTACATGAAATCCCATCTTACCTTTCTACTACCTTAGTTGGACATTTCCTGTTTGCTCTGCTTCATGCATTTGGCTTACTGCATAGGAATGCCTAACAAAGCGAATCCCCTTTGTTAAAATCAGTGAAACTTCCATACAACATATTTAGGATTGGAGTGTGTGTGGCTTTTATTCTCTTGATGTTAGTGCTCATTATTCATAGCACTATACTAAAACAATTGGCATATAGGTCTAATTCTCAAAAACAGTGTTTTAATATGTTACCATTGATGTTAATCTTGCAATGGTTGCATTACTTCCATACATTCAGTACAAGTAGACAGCTCAAAACCATACACACCACTGCATAAATTATTAAAAGGAATCTAGTTGTATTAAACATTACATATATGTCTGCGTGTATAATGAAAACGTGTTTCTTGAAGCTCTTGTTTTATATCCAAAATTTGCTTCAAAAATAATAAGACTATATTAAAAAATTCCAGATTCTTAATAGAGATGTAAGAAATAGGTAGACTTTATGATTACTCTTTTGCCATCTGCCGCTCTGCTCTGCATCCTGTCTGACTAAATCACCCAGCATCCTACTTTTCTCAGCAGTTCTTTTTCAGAAACACATTCTTCTCAATCTCATGCCGTAATGGGTGTTATGTACCCTAATTACCTTTCTCTTTTTTTATACATTGCATGCTTTTTAATAAGTTCATAGTTAAGGGGTAGAAGAAGCAATAAAGGCCCGGTGACCTAACTGTTCCATTGTCTGAGCTACTGGCTGGCTTTACGGGATTATAGCCATTCCCACAAAGAAGGTGTTTGGAATTCTTCCGGGGCTCCCTGGATATTTAAGCAAATGGGCCACAGTTGGCCTGTAGGTCTTGTACAAGGTTGTATTAAACTGCATCACTGCAAGTTCAACAGTTAATCAGAGGAACTTAATAAAACAGCCTTCAGATTCTTCACTGAGTGTTTCAACAGAAAATTTGATCTCTCCTCTATCCTTATTGTCCATGTTTTCTCAAAATACTCAGAGCATAAAATAAGTTCATACAAGAGAACCTTCAGTATAATTAATTCCAAGTCATTGCAACCTTTGACCAGGTTCTCCTAGGTACTCTTCTGCTGCCACTGTGGGACTGTGCAGCTTACACTGGGCTACCTTGGCTGGCTCTTCACCCATAGGTATTACTCAAAACTCCCGGCTCTGTAGCTGTCCAGCTAGCTACCTTGTGCATAAGGCCACAAAAATTATTCAGCTGCTATAGGGTGGCTGAGGAATCATAGAGAGTTCTGTTCCTCTTCTAACAACCAATTGCACTTCTGTGGTATAAGCAGAAGAGAGGACTTTCCCCCTCTGGGTACTGATTTTCTTCTTGGGTGCCGAGGAGGGTTGGAACGTTCCATCCTCCTTTTATTACCTGGCTCTCTTGCCAACTTACACTTACCTGTAGTTACTTGGCAAGAGTTTCAACCCAAGACTATTTTAAGGCTCTCAATATAAACCTATAGCTTTGTACTTGTTCACTTTATCCCAGATTCAGGTGAGCACCGGCTGCTGTTCTTTTGCCAAAAGGGTATTTGCTATTCTGTCTGCCTTGCCTCGATTGCTTTTCAATAGCTTAAGCTTTTACTTTCTGTTTTAGCTGGCAGCCAGAAAGGCAGATTCCATTCCATGATGTCAGGTTTCCTCCACCTACGGGGTACAATAAAGATATAAATGAAAGTGATGAGGTTGAGGTAAGTATCGTTTTAATCCGTGTTTGTAAGAGAGATATTAGCAGCAATAAGTCAACTTCAGGGTGGGGAGTGAGTAAAAGATGGCAACTAAAATAGTATTGCAAATAGAAATTAATAAAAATGGCTTGTTAACTGCTTTGAGTAGTGCCCAGCACTAAGTCAGTCATACAGAAATATAGGAAATAAATAAATAATACTGATTTGCTTATGTTGTGACAAGGCTTTTTTTTTAAGGGCGGTAGGTTAGTGTCGAAGGAGTCAAATTTGTTTAAAGCAGTATTTGAAAACACAGCTTTGAGAAGCATTGCCTAACCTTTTCCACTGGAAAAGAAATGGAAAATTGGTGTGTGTTTTTTTTAAAAAATGGCCCTTCAGTTCTTCTGTTTTCTCCCTGCAGCAAGCTTGCATCGTCTAGATGAAGGCAGGCATCTTATAGTTTCACAGTTCCACATCCAAAGTATAGACTGTGCTCCTTAGCTACGTTTATTGTTTTTGCTTCAGTGAGCTTAGGGCCAAAAAGATGGCTGACCTCTTCACTACTGCTGTGTGCAATAGGTCAAAATGAAAGGAAGTGACTAGGCTGAGCTCTTCCAAGGAGTTTCAGGATTCCGTGGAATATTGATCCTGGACCTCCTGAGTCCTCTGAAGTAGAAAATTAAACCCACCCACCCTGTCGCCACCCTTAAATTTTAACATTTCTGCACATTCTCTCCTAACATCCCATCCTGAGTGTAGGGGAAGAGAACCCTCACTTCCATCCAAGTGTATTGTATACACAGGTAGGACACTTAGAGGTTCCTCATCAGTCCAAACAACATATAGATTTAATGTATCCATTGCTTTACCTCCTAAATATTTCACCCTGAAAGGCAGGGCCAGTAGTTCCCGCACGCGTTCACTGAATACATGGGAGGAATATGAGCTGGATAATGATCATAACTTTGAAATGTTTCCATTTGACTAGTATTGTTACTAATATTGCAAAGGAGTTCATTTTTGGAATTAGAAATGTTTCCATAAGAAAACATAGCATTGGGGCCATGCCTCCTGGAAACATTGCTTGGCAGGCACATTCTGTGCTTAATGTAAGCTGTGTAGTTTTGTTGCGCGCTCTGTTAAGTTAAATATGTGATTAAGAGGAAATGGCAACAAAAGGTGGCCCACACATGGCACCACGAAGCATGCAGAATCAACCTCTCTTGCAGTAATTGCTACATAGTTCTATTTAAGGCTAGGTATTGTTGGAATGTCTTAGGCAGATATTAAAATGTGCAAGTTAATGTACGTGCCACAAGATTTCTGAATTAAACATTTACATAAGTTTATTAAAGATACCAGTAACTTGAGGAATTGGGGATGGCCTTGTACACTTCATGCATCAGAATATTTTTGATAAAGGAATTCACTGGTTGGATAACGGGCTTGTGAATAGTAGGAAGATATTTGTTACTTCAAATCCCCAGTACATTGGTGGTGGTGTTATATTGGTGTATTTGGCAATGTCTTTATCGCATAACACTTTTACACTGTAATTTTTGTTTAGGTTTATTCCAGGGCTAACGAAAAGGAACCATGTTGCTGGTGGCTGGCAAAAGTGAGAATGATAAAGGGTGAGGTAGGAATATATACATATATATATATACATATACACATACGCACATATACATATATTAGTGTTACAGCATTGGTGTATTGATTTTAGCTTTTGGATTTTAAGTTCTTGTGGGCCTTACTTTTCAAGTTTTATTTTATCTTTTGGGTGCTCTTGATAATTATCTAAGTATAATGCAGTTTGTAGCAAAACATGGAGTTTTTCTCTGTGGAGCAGGCCCTTTCATAGATAACAAACGTAGTGTGTAGTCAGAACATTGAGTCAGTTTTCAGTTAAACAGTGTCTTGGACAATTTTGTTCTTCTTTTATTAGTTTTATGTAATAGAATACGCAGCCTGTGACGCTACCTACAATGAAATTGTCACCATTGAGCGTTTAAGGTCTGTGAATCCAAACAAACCTGCAACAAAGGACACATTTCATAAGATCAAACTTGATGTGCCAGAAGATCTTCGGCAGATGTGAGTACAGAGGTTTTATTTAAAAAATATTGATTTAAAAGCAGCTTTTTGGGTGTTTGGAAGGTTACAGTGGGCAGACCAGGTTTCCCACCAGAGTTCTACTGGTAGGAGCAATTCTGTCAGTAGATGTGTCAGACTGGATCCTGTATTCTGCACCAAATGCTAGTAAACAGAAGATTTTGTGAAAGTCTTTGAAAGACATAGTGCTTAGCCAGGTGATATTAGGAGACTTTAATCATGGCAACGATACTCATGCTAGTACACATTTAAGATACTAAAACATGTCTGCCAGTTAGTCGCTGTGGCCGATGTGACAATGGCCTAGGTACAAGGAGATGAAACTACGTAAACTTTTAAAGATGCTTTTGATAATGAGTTGCGCACACTTTCAGAGATGGTGTTTGTGAAAATGGCACAATGCAACTAGTGCTGACACAGCTGTGCTCTTCTTGGTAGATAGTGGCAGTGCACGGTTGCTCATTCATAAGACTACATCAGCTGAAGAACACAGTAGAATTCTATATGTACATCAGTGCATTATATGGCCGAATCTTGTATCTGTCCAATATGTCAGATGTTAATATAATGTCTTTCTAGGTGTGCTAAAGAGTCTGCACACAAGGACTTCAAAAAAGCAGTTGGCGCATTTTCTGTAATATATGATTCCGAAGCCCATCAGCTTATAATTTTGGTAAGTTCTGCTGTCGTTGACATTTATTCAGAGTTTTTGTGCTGGATCTGATACTGATTACTGGTATTTTAATTTTTTTTTAAGTCTATCAATGAAGTAACAACAAAACGTGCAAACATGCTCATCGATATGCACTTCCGAAGTCTTCGCACCAAGTTATCGTTGATAATGAGAAACGAAGAAGCAAGCAAACAGCTAGAGGTAAGTTCAGTTACAGCAACGAGTATTAGGGTTTTGTTTGGTTTTGTTTTTTTGAAAGCAAGGAACGTGGTGGCGCTGCGGGTTAAACCGCAAAGCCTCCGGGCTGCGAGGTTGAAAGATCAGGAGTTCGAATCCACACAACAGAGTGAGCTCCCGTCGTTTGTCTCAGCACCTGCCAACTTAGCAGTTCGAAAGCATGTAAAAATGTGAGTAGATAAATAGGTACCACCACGGTGGAAAGGTCACGGCGTTCCATGTCTAGTCGCACTGGCCACGGAAACTGTCTACAGACAAACGCTGGCTCTACAGCTTAGAAACGGGGGGGGGGGGGAGCACAGCCCTCTAGAGTCAGACACAACTGGACAATTTGTCAAGAGGAACCTTTTGAAAGTAAGAATTTCTGTCTTGATTGACCTGGCCATTGGCTATGTTACAATTTGGGCTGCAAGTGGGTGTCTTTGGAGTACAGCCCCCTGAATTCTCCACTTCTGTCCTTTTGGAGCTGTACTCCAAAATGCAGATCTATTCTTTTAAAATCAGTGATGCACTCATAATTCGACTTCGGCTAATGAAAAATGTATCCTTCCAGAGTTCGAGGCAGCTTGCTTCACGATTCCATGAGCAGTTTGTTGTACGTGAAGATCTAATGGGTCTGGCCATTGGCACTCATGGTGCTAATATTCAGCAAGCCAGGAAGGTGCCTGGTGTGACAGCTATTGACCTTGATGAAGACACTTGCACATTCCATATTTACGGGGAGGTAAGTTGGATCTACAGTGTTGCTGTAGGAAGGCTTCTCTGATCCCATGACTTTAAAATACTTGAACATCCATTTTATTATTTTTCCCCCGTAGGACCAAGATGCAGTGAAGAAAGCAAGAAGTTATCTTGAATTTGCGGAAGATGTCATCCAAGTCCCAAGAAACTTAGTAGGTATGTCAGTTTTTAACATAATAACAAAATTTTAAAACATCAGTATAATTATCCAAGAAGAAGAAAAAGAGGAAAAAGAAAAACAGAAAAAAAAATCAGGTATTAACTGGAGGGAAGGCCTGCGTGAACATTCAAGTTTTCAGTTGTTTTTTAAAGATGCCCAGTGAAGGGGCCGCACGAATCTCCGGAGGAAGGTTATTCCAGAGGCAAGGAGCCACCGCCAAGAAGGCCTGGTTTCTAGTTTTTTCCTTCCGGCTCTCCCTTGGCGTCAGGCTCCTCAGCCTCACCTCCTGACTCGATTGGATGATACGGGTAATTTTTGGTGGGAGTAGGCATTTCGCCAGGTATTGAGGTCCTAAACCATTCAGGGCTTTATACATAAGCATTAAAACTTTGAAGTCAATACGGAATAGAATGGGCAGCCAATGCAAAGCGGCCAGAATGGGAGAGGTATGCTGATATTTTCTCACTCCACCAAGAAGTCTGTCAGCTGCATTCTGCACCACTTGAAGTTTCCGCATCAACCTCAAAGGTAGCCCCACGTAGAGTGCATTACAGTGGTCTAATCTCAAGATTACAAGTGCATGTACCACGGTGGTGAGCGCCCCAACATCAAGATAGGGATGCAGCTCGGCTATCCGCCTTCTGTTTAAGGTGCCACAAACCTCTTTGTTTTTCCCTCGGCTGACTAGCAGAGCTAACTCCCTGATATTATTTTGCTTCACGGCAAAAACTATTGACGTTTTATTGTAAGTACTCCCTGATACTACTTTGCTTCACAGCAAAAACTTTTGACGTTTTATTGTAAGTATAAGTATGAAATAGACGATAGCTTTCTTTTTGCTCATATCATCAGTTCTTTTAAAACAGCAGAAAGAAAGATGAATGGAATTTGGTATTTGTGCCCGTTCTTATTCTCATTCTTGGCAATCAGTATCACTTATTGGTAGGTAATGAATCTTTGATTGTGATAGTAGAACTTCCAGTTGATTGCAGGTACATTGTGGTCAGCTGACTTTCTCTCATGTGCCAGCATTCCTGACAAACACACTTATATGTGTTTTTTTGTATGTTCTCTTTATAGGAAAAGTCATAGGAAAAAATGGAAAACTTATTCAAGAAATTGTGGACAAATCTGGTGTTGTGAGAGTTAGAATTGAGGCTGAAAATGATAAAAACATTCCACAAGAAGAGGTATGTGAAGTAAATAAGGTTTGTTCATTTGGGAATGTTTCATAAGAAGTTGAAAACTGCGTTTTTGGACACTACATGTTTATTACAAAGTCTCTGTTTCTTGTTTCAAAGTAATTGTTTCGAGGTTACTGTAGTCTTGACTAGTTTACTTTGGTCAGTAGAATGTTACTTAAACAAATGCATTGCTTGAAACTATCTTTATTTCACAGGATGATATTCTTTATAGTAAAGAAGTGTGTGTTTTATCATAATTTTTTTAGAGTTTCATGAAGTAGGCCAGTATTTTCATTTTAGAAATATTGGATGTGAAGAAAGAGAACCTGGTCAGCAATGCAAATAGTAGAGACAAAATTTAAACTCAGATCAATATCCATTATTACCTCCCAAACTAAATTTGGAGCTTAAGTATTCAGAACAGTGGCCACACTGTGTTGCATTTGGAACAACATATATCCTTGATAATAATACTGTGTTTCCCCCAAAATAAGACAGAGTCTTATATTAATTTTGGCTCCAAAACCACATTAGCGCTTATTTTGAGGGGATGTTTTATTTTGCTCACGTACAAAATCTACATTTATTCAGATACAGTAATGTCATCTCTTGGTTGCTGCACAATAGTGGAGAATGCAATTTCACTTAACTAGGGCTTATTTTTTTGGGTTAGGGCTTATATGACGAGCATCATGAAAAATCATACTAGGGCTTATTTTCAGGTTATTTTGGGGAAATCATACTACGGCTTATTTTCAGATTATTTTGGAGAAACAGGGTAGCAAACTCATTTTTTGAGAGTTGATCGTTAGGTAGCCACAACAGCACTCTTTATCTTCAACAGAAGAGATGACGATAACCTTTGAGAAACTTGTTAGGGTGAAAGAATCTTGAGGAGAAAACCTTAAAGACAACTTAGTGGTAACAGAATATGCTCAGTGGACCTAGAATGATGACTGGGGAGGGGAGTGGAATCAAGTTACTTATAACAATGGTTCCCAACCTCGAGTCCCCAGTTGTTGCTATACTACAACTCCCAGAAATGTTCGCCAGCACATCTAATGGTGAAAGGCTTCTGCGAACCACTACCCTAGAATAGGAAGAGTTAGAAGCCTGATCAGGAGTGCTCCCCTCCCCTCCACAAGTCACACAGTGTTTTATTTTAACATAGGGGCATGATATAAAACTAATTTTTTGTCTTTATGGCAATAAAGTGTGCATAAATATCAGAGTTGCCTTTTCTGTTGAGAATTTGGAAATATTTGCTCCACAGTTACATATTGAAGTTGATTTGGTTTGGGATCTTTCCTGTTCCACCCCATGGACTTCAAGCTGCTTTCATACATTACATTTTATAAATATTAGTAATTCTGCTTACAATACTAGGACAATAACATGGTTTGGAAGAAGCTAAGCAGTTCGTAAAAATCCAAACTACCCATGATTACCAAAATATCATCCAAGGGATGAACCTTTTCAAAAGGAGCCATCTGGTCAATGCTTACATGTTTGCAGTGAGCCTCAGAATGGAGTAGTTTGAGAGGGAGATGGACTTAGGTTCAAGGAGATGTCTTTGGAGCTCTTCCCACAGAACAACTAAAGAAGTAAAAATTAATTGCACTGACAGGTTATTTGCTTTTGTCTCCATTTAGCAACCCTTTGAGGGTTTTTTTTTAAATAAACGCTGATTCTAAACAAATGTTCTGTTGAAATAAAATAGACACATTGGAGTAATATAGGATTTTATTGAGGCTCTGAAATGCAAGCAAAGCTGAACACCTGTAATTCTGTGTATGGACCCATTCTGTTCAACCTGTGACCCATCATCACTACCAGCATTGTTTCTGGATATGAATAAATAAACCCCACACATCTGGTAGACTGGGCTACAGTCCATGAAAGCTTATGCCAAATAAAACTTAGTATTTAGGATGCCACGAGAGCCTTGTAATAAACCACCTGCTTTTACATTTGGGATCTTTTAAAAAATGATGGCAAAGCGTCTCAAATATGTTGTAGGTTACGTTAAGCTTTTTCGGCTCGCTTGTTGTGGAGGCAGATATTGGACTTCATTAGACATCACACCCAAATCACCTTTGAAGTTGACAACATGGCTGTTACTTGGGAGCCCGTGGATTCTTCACTGTGAAGTTATCTGCTTGCATAAGAAACGGCCTGCATGTAACCATGCCTGGGAAAAAAATGTAACTTTTTGTATATTCCAAAGTTATTCCAAGGTTGCTGGGTTACCAGCGCAACTGCAAAACTATTGCAGGGCCTTTGTCCTCTCAAGTCTTGAGCTGAAGGTTCTTTGTTGACTCCTGTGCATATTTAATGACATCACTAATACGGGGATTTCTTACGCTGCAGGCGTTAGTTGTGTCATCAACTGTAGCCAGGAGAAAGCAAAAATCTGAACTCAAAACTTGGCAGGTAGGAAACATACTCTTTCTGACTTCTCTTTGCAAGCAATAAACATTTAAGAGAGGCCGACTAATATGTGAACCACATAACATCTGCCAGGATCCATAAACAGATGACAGGTTGCTCATTGTATATATTAGGCTATCCAAACACCTGCAAATGAAAGCTGAATGCGCTGATGGGGCTTTTAATCTTAATCCTAAATCTGATAGTGTAGCATGAGCTTGTCTGTGTATTATATTTACCACCTGAAAGCCATTGTAAAAATGAATTGTTTGGATCCCTTTGGGTGTTAATGTGATATCCTTACTGCCGTTACTTGTATATACGCCAAAATAGAACATAAGGATTCTGAGCTCTTTTTAATCTCCAACATAGTTGTGTGTATATGATTCATATGGACCAGAATCCTGTTGCAGATTTCACCAGTTTATAATGTAATGTTACTTTTTAGTGGCATCACTGCTGTTCATTAATGAATTGCTGCTTGCCCTTCTCATCATGTGCCAGTCGTATGACTTTGCAGGCAACTCGAAATGTTTAATCAGCACCAATTCATTGCCACCGTTTCCACCATTATTGTTATATCAGAGTGAATCCACAATAGGATCCCGGCCAGTGCTTGATTAAGTGGATTTCTCCTGATGATTTGTCAAAAGAAATTATGACTTGCATCAATAACGCTGTGAAATCAGCGAAGCAACTAGAGACTTCTGATTGTAAAATTGCTTTTTAGGGGATGGTCCCTTTTGTCTTTGTGGGAACTAAGGATAGCATCACAAATGCAACAGTCCTATTGGATTACCATCTCAATTATTTAAAGGTAAGCATTTTATTAATGAATTATTATTGTTGTTTTATTGAATAACAAACATAAAACATAGCGTGCAACCTTAATAAAATAATCACACAAAACAACTATACAAAAAGTGCTCCTCCCACCCCCAAAAAAACCCAGTACCATTAGAGATATAACCAGTGTTTCCTCCCTTTTGGAGCCCCCTTCTGCTTCCAAAATTGTAATGACTGTTGCGGAGGTACATGTCTCTTCCGCAGTATATAATCAATAAATTCTTATTTAACAAACCCTTCTGTACTTTTAAATCACACGTTAGTTTATCATTAATAGTTATATTCCATACCTCATTATACTGTACATTTAATTAAAAATCACCCTTCAGTCTCGAAAGACTATGGTAGCGTCATTATACTGTACATTTAATTAAAATTCATACTTCGTTTTCCAATGTCTAGCTACCATTAACCTTGCTGCTGTTACTGAATTGAAAGTAATTCTTTAGTTGACCCGTTTACATTGCTCCTTATCAAATACTGACACCTCTGTTTTTCTAGGAAGTGGACCAACTGCGTTTGGAAAGATTGCAGATAGATGAACAGCTTCGGCAGATTGGGGCTACTTCAAGACCACCTCCAAACCGCTCAGATAAAGAAAAAGGTTATATGACTGATGACGGCCCAGGCCTTGGAAGAGGCAGCCGACCTTATCGAAACAGAGGGCACAGCAGACGTGGGCCAGGCTATGCTTCAGGTTGGTAACTTGAAACGGTCATGTTTGTCTCTTCCACTCTGATTACTGTCTTCACTTTCTTCGGAATGCTAACGTCTGTAATTCTGATAAACAAGATATACATGAGCTTTAACATGAAATTGTGAACAAGCTGCAAACGTGTAAACTGGTGTTGTATTTTGTTTTTATCTTGTGCTGTCAGCTCATTTCTATCTTTTGGCAGCCCTATGAATTAGTGATCTCTGTATCCTATCGTTGACATGTTGTCTTACCAGGAACAACAGAAACTTTATTATAGCGCGTACATAAGATGAACGCATGTATAATGGGCAGTAACAACATAAACCACATACACACACCCAAAAAACCCGTTATACATAGTGAGCATGCAGCATAATGCAGGAGAGAGAAAAGCAATTGCCAAAAAAAAAAACACCACCAAGGCCCCAAGCTAAAAGCCAATACATACTCAAACTGTACATGTTTGGCTGCTCAGCTTCCTCCAGAAGCCTCTCTAGAGCTAGTATGAGGATCACTGCTTGCAGACGGCTTCAAAAGCATCCTTCAGTGATTACTCACTACCTGAGAGTCAATTCGTGTGCTGTTCTAAATTTCTCCAATGAACTAAACTCCATGAAATGATTAAGTGAAGGAGATCACATCTGTCATTTTCCTTATTTAGTGAAAGATTCTTGTTCAGTGCTTTGTACTCTGAAGCCAACTACGTACATGAGCAGCAAATGCATCAAGAAGAATCTGAATGTTAAATATCTAAAACTGGCATTATGTGCACTCTATAGGTCTCTGCCGACAAACTGCTGGGGATGTATTTCAGTCAGCACCTCATACTATATGAACTCAAATTGAAGTAGGATCACATTGCAGAATCAAACCACCTAGACCATAATTTGGTAGAACATTGTTGGTGTAGAAAAGACAGCACCTGCTGTGTTTAGAACTTCTGCTGTGGTCCAAACATACTCAGTATATATTTTAAAAATCAGGTTGCAGTTTTTGTTTTTGTTTTTTGTTGTTGTTTTTGGAATTAAGCATTTAAAGCAAAAAAAAAAAAAACACTTTTCTGAAACCTTCAGCTGGTTGAGTTAATGCCAGCAAGAGTCTGTGAAAACTGCTCCAGTCACTAAGAAACTATTGCAAGCCTTATGGATTCACTAGGTTCAACGTTTTCCAAGGTTAGTCTTTTGCAAAGGAAACAAGAGGAGTCCTGTGACACCTGTAAGGCTGGCTCATTTTTTACAGCACAGAATTTCTCATGGACTAGAACACCCACTTAGAAGAGTTCTTTCGGTTGGTTGGTTTTTCTAAAATATGAAAATAGACTGTGGTATGTCTTGGTTTTTTTAAACTCTTGATAGGAACTAACTCTGAAGCATCAAATGCTTCTGAAACAGAGTCCGACCACAGAGATGAGCTCAGCGACTGGTCGCTAGCCCCCGCGGAAGAAGAGCGCGACAGCTACCTTCGCAGAGGAGATGGCCGAAGGCGTGGCGGAGGTGCACGTGGACAAGGAGGAAGAGGCCGAGGAGGTTTCAAAGGTGAGACGAGGCTCATAAGGCTGTGCTCTTGGGTCTCTTATGTGTAAGCCCTCTGTCGCCAGTATATGTTTGAAATTGAGGCCAGAAGCTTTTGGGTTTGCCAAAAATACTGCAAAGAGAATGTCTTCCAAAAATTAAATCAGAGGCTGAAACTAAACTTCATGCAAACCTTTATACTGGAAGCAAAGTGGCAACTAGCATTTCAAAACAGGTAGGAGACACAGAGGAGGAACACAAAGTAATAAGCAGAGTTGCCAGTTCACATAGAACCTTGGGTCCTTTCATAGGAAAGGTGGGATATAAATATTTGAACTAAATAAATCAATTAATTAGAAGCTATCAAACATAACTATAGCTTCTGTTTGGCATGGGAAGGCAGAAATGCTTGCATATTGTAGGTTAACTCACACTACAGTGGTATACTGCAGATTCCAGTAGAAACATACAAATTGTTTATTGAGTTTCTAGGCTTCCTGACTTAGTGAGATGCTACTCAGGGCAGTTGACATAATTAAGCAAAACATACAAAGTTAACATAGTAAAAGAATGAGTATATAGTACCACAAAGTGAAGGCGACCGAGGATTGCCACCTGATGCCTTAGGTGAACCAAATTGTATAAACCATAGCATAATAAACAAAATGTCCCAATAATATAATCAGTAGACCCTGCAAAGAAAAATTATTAGATCCTGAATGACACTAACATCACATTGTTATTTATGTCTACAAAGCTTGGCCTATTATGTTGTTGTCCGTAGAGTCTTTGAAAGGATCAACCTAGCCGAGAATTAAAACTGTTTTAAAAGATCTTTCTAAAAATTAGCATTATTTACTGTATTTAGGAAACGATGAACAGTCAAGAACAGATAACCGTCAACGCAATTCAAGAGATACTAAAGGGAGAACAACAGATGGGTCACTTCAGGTAATTCTGTTTGTTTGTTTGTTTGTTTGATCTGTGCATAGGTGAATGTAGACTTTATATTTGCACTGTCCACCTTGGTGCACTGTTGCTGTCTCTGCCACAGATATGTATCAGCCTGTTCATTCTTCTTCTCTGTACCCACTTGTGCATATTATCATCTCAAAATAGCCAGGTTCATTTTCTGTATGATTTTGCTTAGTTTTTTTTATAACGCTGCTTTCTGATGGGGTCAAGTAAATTAACACTTTAGAATAGTTAATTTACACTCTAAAGGCATCAAACAATTACAATACTTCTTAAGCTTAGTTGCACAATGTCTGCCCATATACAGTGAGCTTGCAGTGATTTGGAAGTAACATTTCAGGGTTGTTGGGGTTTTTTTTTCAATTTATATAGGGAGTTCTGCCAGATAAATATTAGATTATGTGGGTCCAAATCCAGTTGTTGGCATTGATTGGAATAGATGCATTGAAGCAGTAGGAAGTTTTGACTTATAATTCAACAATTCCTTGATTTAAATCCATTCTAGTTGGAACTAGTAACTGGGTTCTTGCCATTGTGCAGTCATTCCTATTCTTGAAAGTTTAGGCAGACTTCCATAGCTGAGTCCCATATTTAAAATGTCTGCATTGCCTTCCTCTGGACTGTATACACTATACAGTCATTTATTCCAGTGGTTCTTAACCTTTGTTACTCGGATGCTTTTGAACTGCAACTCCCAGAAACCCCAGTCAGGACAGCTGGTGGTGAAGGCTTCTGGGAGTTGCAGTCCAAAACTCCTGAGTAACCCAAGATTAAGAACCAGTGATTTATTCTAAAGAGGAAGAAAGAACAATTTAAAAAAAAAATCCCCACAGGTCTTCAGGAGTATCCCCTTACAAATTATCAGAGGGGTATGCTTTATGTAATTGTAACTTGTTTCAGATCAGAATTGACTGCAATAATGAAAGAAGTGTCCACACTAAAACATTACAGAATACCTCCAGCGAAGGTAGCCGACTGCGCACGGGTAAAGATCGCAACCAGAAGAAAGAGAAGTCGGACAGCGGAGATGGCCAGCAGCCGTTGGTGAATGGAGTACCCTAACCTGCATAGTTTGAGAAGTCGCATTTCCTAAACTGTTTCAGTAAATCTTGTTCCACATTAGAGAAAACTTGTTAGGCCAAAGACAAAAAATAGTAGGCAAGATGGCGCAGGGCATGAGATGAATATAAAAAGTTCTGTTAGCTTTTTTTAACATCAGCAGTATGCAGTTTTTTTCAAAATAAAGACGTTATACTTGCATTAAAATATCTTGAACTTCTGGAAAAAAATTGCTTTTCGAGTACATATTGCACTTCAAACAATGAAAGAATCCTTTTGTTTGTTTTAAAAATACTGAACTGTGCATTGGTATTTCCGTTCAGTTGTACCGTTTTAACGCATCTGGTCAAAATCACTGCTAAATTTCAATTTTCAGAATAAATAGTGTTTGCGGTAATCAAATTGGGCTTCTGTTTTCAATCTATTGAAAGTTCCTCATTTAAAAAAAGAATAAAGCTGTTTTATGTCCTGTGTCAGTTCACATTTTGGTTCACTTTTTTCAGTATTTTAGTGAACCTGGATGTATGTGTAATGTAACTAAAAATGTCATTTTCATTAGCAAAAAGTTGTATGATCTGTGCCTTTTTTATATCTTGGCAGGTAGGAATACTATATTTGGATGCAGAAATCAGGGAAGATGAGTTGGAAACACTAAATGTACAATATATGTAGCAAAACTTCTCCAACAGTTAGTACTTTATTAGAAGAAATGCATGCTTTCCATAATTTTTCCTAGCATAAACATCGTTAAGCAGTTTATAAGAATAGGAAACTTATTTTGCACTGAGGATAATGGCAGATCGTGTTACTGAAATGGTGGGTTTTTTTGTTTCTTTCTAGGCAGGACAAGATAAGTTTTTTAAGCGCATATTTCCATTTGTGATAAACTAAAACAATTCATGGTTACTGAGGGAACAAATTGTAACTTGTCCATAAATTAGTAGTGTGTGCCTGCTGTTTGTCCAGAGGACCAATTTAAAAGAATAGCTCTCGTTTCACTTCCCCAACAGTTTCTGGTATTGAAATTCAGAGCCTTTCTCGTACGAGATAGGAAAGTGATTCGTATTTGTGACTCTGAGTAAAATTCAGGGATAGCGTCGTAAGACAGCATTTGAAATCCAACATACATGGCCTCATTTACAGATAGATATGAAACATATGACGGATATCGGCATAAAGATTAGTTGCCCGTAATAGGGAGGCTTTAGGAAGGCTTTCTATTTCTTACCATGAATAATATAGCAAAAAAACAAAAACAAAAACAAAACAAAAAACCTTTAGTAAAACTTTCATTTGAAGCTATTCTATTTTTATTGAAATTACTCCAGTGGGAGTGTTGCTGATTATGTACAGAATTGTACACAAACCTGGCCCCTATCTCTGTGTTGTGTGTATTGTTTCTCTGCTTTTTTCAGTTGTTTTTCCTTTGCATACAAGCAAGCATATAAAAATGGCAACAAGCTGCACACAACTTACAAATATGTTAAGAAAAAAAAAGTCTTAAATATTGCCAAACTAAATGTTGATTTCTAGTTATTTATTTTTGGGGAATGTATAGTATTTGAAAACTGAAATTGGTACCTTGCACACATCATCTGTAAGCTGTTTGGTTTAAAATACTGTAGATAATTAACCAAGGTAGAATGACCTTGTAATGTAACTGCTCTTGGGCAATATTCTCTGTACATATTAGCTACAACAGATTGGATTTTATGTTGACATTTGTTTGGTTATAGTGCAATATATTTTGTATGCAAGCAGTTTCAATAAAGTTGGATCTTCCTCTGCTAATGGATGTTGATGCAATCTTTATAAATGATTGCTTTAAACAAATCAACTTTTAAAAAACCAACAACCTATTTTTTCCTGTGTTAAATTGGAAACCTTGTTTACTTCAGATGTGTGAAAGCTGAAACATTTTCAGTTTCAAGAATTTGGCAGGTAGTGTGCCGTTACTGGTCGAAGCGTACATGTTTAGCTATTATATGCACTAATTTTACACTCAAGGTTGACTTCAGTAAGGTGCTAACTAGATTTGACTTTATCAAAACTGTAATAGGTTAATCACAGTTTCAAATGACATTTTGCAGTATTTTTGTGTTCTAAATGTATATCCCTTTCAGTTAAAAAAATCCACTGTTTTTGAGTATTCATACATTTTAAAAAATTGTAAATCAAAATGTAAAATTCATTTTGAGAATCATGTGTGTTATGAAGGTTGAAAGTGCAGCAAATGTCTGATGTTTGGGTTCACTTCCTTACTGGTAACTTCACATATGGTCTAATAAATTACAATTATTTTGAAAAAATAAAGTTTTTTAAAGAGTGAGAGGTATCCGTGAATGGGCACCATATTCAAGTACACTTAGGAGAAACACTGTTACTACCCCGCTGGAATTTAAAAGAAGAACAATTAGTTTTTCTTCTCTCCCTAGTTATGTTAAAGGGAAGAAGGGCACGGATGAAGAGCATTGGATTTAAGCTTCCTTGAACAAGGATTTTTCTGCTGCTGGTAAAACCAAATACTTTAACACCCGTTCATCCAAGATGAGAGCATGGTTGTGAAACAAACAAGTTTCATTTCCTGGATGGGATATTCCTGAGGAATCTTAGAAATACCTTACCTGGGAAACAGAGATCTTTATACTAGTGTTTCAAGAAAGATTTCGCAGCCCACTAGGCTGTCAAGCTTCTTGTTAGTACGATTCCTTCCATGAGAATTGGGGAAGGCTTATATCTAGAAAACATGTTTTCCACTTTCCTTGTTAAGCGTGGCTGGCTCAGTAGTTTAGGTCTCCTGCTGTGGAGCCAGTGGTTGGGAGTTCGATTCCCCACTGTGCCTCTTTGCCAGGGGCTGGACTCGATCCGTTGGGTCCTTTCGAGCTCTGCAGTTCTAAAGCGATAGTAGTGATGAGGTTCACATCTTGGACTGGAGTTGTAAGAGAAGGGAGACCAAGATTGAAAGTTTTCACACTCTTTGCACGAATATTTGTATAATAGAACACATTCCAATTTATTTTGTGTGCTCTGTAGCTTTTTATTATTATTGTACAGTTCTTTCTTTGAAGGAGAGAATTTTCAGAAATGCATTTTATCCTCCCTGTAGAACACCTTCCTCGTTAATAAGGCTTGAGCTTTCCTCCTTCATTCAGTAACACTTTGATGGACCAAGATTCTCTGCATTCTGCTGGCCTTCCAAAGAAAAATAATTATCATCATGCAAAATGGACCATTTATAGACACTTGTTCTCAGGGTTGTTACTATGTATCCCCCCACTTTCTGGGTATAGGAAGCTATAGCGATCCTAGCCCCCCCCCCCCAATTGTCCAGAATAAAAACTGGAAGCAGCTTAGAAATCTAGAATTTGGTCAAGACATAATTTCAAGCCCATACAAACATGGCGTACACCCCACGAGCATCTTTCACATGTGCTAGCATCAAAGGCAAAAGTTGCGTTTTTGGTGGACTTTTGTTGTGTATACCATGTTTCCCTGAAAATAAGGAAGGGTCTCGTCCCACGAGCATCTTTCACATGTGCTAGCATTAAAGGCAAAAGGTACTTGTGTTTTTCGTGGACTTTTGTTGTGTGTACCGTGTTTCCCCGAAAATAAGGGTCTCGTATTTTTGCTCCAAAAACTACATTAGGGCTTATCTTCAGGGGATGTTTTATTTGTTCCATATACAACAATCTACTTTTATTCAAATACAGTCATGTCTTCATCTGGTTGGTGCACAATGGTGGAGGATGGGATTTCACTTAACTATGGCTTATTTTGGGGGTAAGACTTATATTAAGCAAACTGAAAAATTATGCTAGGGCTTATTTTCAGGTTAGGTCTTATTTTGGGGGAAACGGTATGCATGTGTGGTTTTTTTCTTGGATACGTATTTTTCTGGTAAACTAGAACAGAACTGGAAGTATTTTTCAAGATATGTTGGTATGCTCTGGCATATCTAACTGCAGCAGTTTGTTGAACTTTACCAATAATATAGCAGGCATGATCAGAAGGATTTTTTTTGTAGCAGGCCTTCATGATTTATTTCTCACTTTCCAAAATGTGTTCGAAAATCTGTTCTTTTTAGAAATTCCTGCTCAACCTATGTAAGTGAGAGGTTTTGAAAGAAACATGTGAATTGCAGTTCTACAAATTCTGTCATAATTTGACTATAAATTCTGTCATATTTCAGATCAGTTCTGAAACTTAAAGGGAACCTTAATATTTTTGTGATCCTGGAGTTGGAATTTTTTTTACTAATAAGCCCATTTTGTCAATGTATCAGTTCACTTTCCAAGACCTCCATATGGCCCTTGCTTGGAATAAAGCAGCAGGGTAAGCATCCTATGCTTGCTAGCGCTACAAGTTTTCACAAGTACCTGCTTGTGAACACAGAGAGCCATTCAGTTAAGAGACTTGTCCTGTTTTTCTATACATATTTCTAAATAGATGTGCTTTATGCAAAAAGTTCAACGACATAAAAGCTGCACTGGAGAAGCTGTAGATAGTTTAATTGGTTACATATGAGTTGCTCTTGGAACCTTCACTGAAAGTGCAGAATAAATACATGAATAAAGGCTGTGAAAACAAGAGCATCTTGATCCATGGAAGAAGAAAAAAAAAAACAAAGTTCTGTGGGCAGCGATTCTGTGAGTACCACTGAAAATGCCATAGAAATGTGTGAGCTTCCAAATTCTCTGTCCGGCTGTATGAAGCAAAATATTGACGGGAGAAGAAGAAAGCAGGAGATGCTAACAAATTTGGACAGATTTTTCTGTGGCTCTGAAGTCTGGTGTTAAACTTGGTTTCAAGGCCGAAAATTTAGATTGAAAAAGTATCAAGAAGTAGAAAGAATGATAGATGAATAACGATAGTTCATGGTGGAGTTTTTTTCCATCCATGTATGTATTTGTTACTTTTGTTTAGGTTACAATACCCTTTGGCTTTTCGGTGGGCACCATAGTTTTAGGTTGGCATGAGTTACAGCAAAATGAAAGATGTAAGGAATTGGAACTTGCAAAACACAAATGGATTCTTAGTTTCTAGATGTAAAAGTTTGATATTGGAAAACTATGTTTGTATCTGTGCTTTGGGTGTGGGGGGGAAAGGGCCCTGTTAACAGCTCTGTACCTATTGGCACAAGTACACATTGTTTCATTTTGTTTTGTGATTAAGACACTTGAGCAGGATATAATACCACCCCCCGTAGCTAATTATCGCTAATAGGCCATGTGTTGTTTGCTACTTCTTCTTGCATGATGCATTTTCTTGATCATCTTTCTGGGGTGTTATGAGGTCAAATGAAATGACGGACTTCCCTGCCATCTTGAAATATTTGTGATTCTTGTTTCAGATGGGTATTTATTGTCTAAGGAAGTGTGACTTGTCCATGAAAGCCCGCGTTAAAATATAGCAGCCTTTAAGTTGCCACCATGTTTTGGCCTTTTTAATTTATTTATTTGTTTTTGTTATGATGATTATTTTGTTGTGTGTTTTTTTTACCTATGATGCTTACACAGACTAGCATCGTTGCCTCTTCTACGACGACACTTAAAAGTCTAAATACACACTTTACAAGGTGTTCCAAGAGTGTCATTGCTGTTAGCCCATCCTTATCCCTGGAAGTCATTACCAAATGAATAAGTCACAATAGAAATCCCCATAGTGATAGAAACTACACTGCTCCCTTAAGAAACCTGCACCAGTAGTTTTACACTGACACCAAATACAGAGGCCAACTTTAGTGAGGACACAAGTGGAGTGAATGTCAGGGCTAAAAGTTAAGGAGTTATAGCTGAAGCAAGGAAGGAGACACTGTTTATCTTATTGCAAGTTCTTTGTGTGTGAATATTGTCTCCTTCATTACGCAGTAACCAGGTAAGTTCTTCCTCATCCCGATCTCTGTTGTTTCATATAAATTAGAATATCTTTAATGTACACAATCCCTCCAATCTTAACATTGCATAAGCTACTTTTGTATTTCTCCCTGGACTGTGAAATTCTGATTTTGGAAGGCCTTCACAATAGCGATCAGGAATTTTACCGAGTATAGCTTTGAATTCTGATGTCCACATCAGTCCCCGGTTTCTTAACTGCTGTACTTGCATCGGGCCCATCTCAGCTTTCATCTGAAGATCATTTTCATGTATCTAAAAGGAAAGATAGTTGGGATTGTAAAGAGTTAAGAGCTCTGATAGATTCACATAGCGGCAACAACTCAAAAATGTGGGTTCTACTAGTTAATTTATACCTTCCATCAAGATGATATAAACCAGTTTTTGCTGCGTCTCCTTTTTATCTGTACAGGAATATTCTTAGAAGGAAAAATAAACAATGTGATGGTCATGATCAGTCGGTAAAATTTGTGCCACAAATCCCAACCCAATGTTTGCATCCACAGCATGTTGATCCATAGTGTGTGTATGTGTTGTTACTGTTTTTCATACATGTGGAATTGGTTTTTGATGACAACTGCTCTCCAATCACAATAGTTGATACCTGGAAAAATCCCAAAAATACAGAAGATATTTTGAACACGTTCCTCTTAATGGACTGTTGGGATGTTATTATTTTTGAATTACTTTTTTTGGTCTTGTTTTTGATTCCGCAGGAACAATAGAAATGGTTTCATCCGTGATGCAGCTTTTGGCAAAATGTTTGTGTGTATTGTGTCATGCTGTCGGCCCAAGTGAGTATTATATTCAAACGTACATCAGTAAGCAGTTCAAGCAACGTAAAGAACAGCTCAGGAAAGGGGGTGGTGTTTCAGCGTTGCCTGCTTCCAATATTCCCAAGTTGTTAGAACATGATGACTGTTAACTATTGATAATAATAACCCTGGGTTATCAAGTAAATTCTGAATTGTGGCAACCCTTTTTGAGAGTATTCCAGATAAGAGAATACTCAGGAGTTGGTTTCTTAACAATCTCTTCTTCTGTGTCCACCCTGGGGCTGTGCTGCTTGCCCAAGGCTACACAGGCTGGCTGTACTCAGAGGAGGAACAGAGAGGGATCAAACTCCCAGCCTCTGTTTTTGCAGCCAGCTACCTAACTTACTGAGCTATCCAGCCAGCTCCCATTAACTATTAGACCATGTTTAATCTACTCTATGAGTGAGCGAATGAATGAATGAAAAAGAGAAGTTTGGAGACTTAAAATCTCTTCAACTTCTCCTATCCTGCCATTCTCGTATGTTTTATTCACTCTTCTATTATTGCACTCACTATGAAGCAATGCCGCTACACTTTGCATGTAGGAAATCTAAGGTTCAGTCCCTGGTTTTTCCAAATTAAAAAGCATAAGATCAGAAGCCACTTTTTAAGGAGAAAGGAGGGATAAAAAATATTTTTTAAATAAAGAAGGTCCCAGATGTTTTTAAGGAGAAAGGAGGGATAAAAAAAATTTTAAATAAAGGGAGAAGACCTTGTCTACGAGAACTGGGAACATTACTCTCAGCCAGAATGGGCAATATCGAAAGGGAAAGATGGATAATCCGAGCGGGGATAAAGGGGCTTGTTACAAAAGCCACACTAAATGCCCAGGCTGACCAACCCGCTATGTTCCAAATCTCTCTTAAGTCTTGGCTGTTACATTTTCTGTGGTGGCCCAGCTTTTTGTGGTCTCATCCAGCTGTGGCAACCAAATTTCCCTTCAGTGCAGGTAGAAAAACTAAGGCATACACAGGAGCTAAGAAGCCACAGTGCATCACTGCAACACCAATTCATTTCACATAAGTCATATTTTTTGCAAATACTTCTAAAATAACAATAATGTGAGAAATACGTACTTCAGCAGCCAGAATGGGCAATATCGAAAGGGAAAGATGGATAATCCGAGCGGGGATAAAGGGGCTTGTTACAAAAGCCACACTAAATGTCCAGGCTGACCAACCCGCTATGTTCCAAATCTCTCTTAAGTCTTGGCCGTTATGTTTTCTGTGGTGGCCCAGCTTTATGTGGTCTCCTCATCCAGCTGTAGCAACCAAATTTCCCTTCAGTGCAGGTAGAAAAACTAAGGCATACACAGGAGCTGAGAAGCCACAGTGCATCACTGCAACACCAATTCATTTCACATAAGTCATATTTTTTGCAAAGACTTCTCACAATAATGTGAGAAATACGTACTTCAGAGTAAAATTTCCACAGTTGGACAAAGAAACCCCCACTGACCCTCCTTACCCTGCCCCAGAGTTATAGGTCTGAAGATTGCTGGAAGAAATACCAACCTCAGATATGTAGATGATACCACTCTGATCGCAGAAAGTGAGGAGGAATTAAAGAACCCCGTAATGAAAGAGGAGAATGCAAAAAATGGTCTGAAGCTCAACATTAAAAAAAACTAAGATCATGGCCATTGGTCCCATCACCTCCTAGCAAATAGAAGGGGAAGATATGGAGGCAGTGACAGATTTTACTTTCCTGGGCTCCTTGATCACTGGAGATGGAGACAGCAGCCACGAAATTAAAAGACGCCTGCTTCTTGGGTGGAAAGTGATGACAAACCTAGACAGCATCTTAAAAAGCAGAGACATCACCTTGCCGACAAAGGTCCGCATAGTCAAAGCTATGGTTTTTCCAGTAGCGATGTATGGAAGTGAGAGCTGGACCATAAAGAAAGCAGACCACCGAAGAATTGATGCCTTTGAATTGTGGTGCAGGAGGAGGCTCTTGAGAGTCCCCTGGACTGCAATGAGAACAAACCTTTCCATTCTGAAGGAAATCAACCCTGAGTGCTCACTGGAAGGACAGATCCTGTAGTATTGATCCCAGTTGTTAAGTCGTGTCTGACTCTTCATGACTCCATGGACCAGAGCACGCCAGGCCCTCCTGTCTTCCACTGACTTGGGTCAAATTCATGTTGGTCACTTCAATGACACTGTCCATCCATCTCGTCCTCTGTCATCCCCTTCTCTTCTTGCCTTCACACTTTCCCAGCATCAGGGTCTTTTCCAGGGAGTCGTCTCATGAGATGGTCAAAGTATTGGAGCCTCATCTTCAGGATCTACCCCATTAACTAGCAACCTTTCAACTGCCAAATTTACACCTTTTCCTTTAAATCACAGTATTCTGGCCAGCATGCCCCAGACGAGCAACCACCCTTGTTCCACCAGTTCTTTTTCATCAGGTTGGCCTGAAATGTGTTTTTAAGGAGGCGGCTTTATTTGTTTGAGTTGCCTCTGGGTTGTCTTGCTCCTTGCAATTTGGTAAACAATGCAATGCAAGGACTTTTTTTAAAAAAGCAATTCCATGGAATTGAAGTGGTTTGAGCTGCGTTAGGTACTTAACTTGCTTCTTTGTTCAATTGCCAAAATTTGATTTGAATGGCTCTGAGCTTTGCAGATCCAGCGCTGCCAGTTCCGGCTGTTTTGAATGAATCTGAAATTGTGCCCAGCGACTTGAGGATGAAATCTGAAGCACTGCCTGAAAAGGTGGCCAGATTCTTCAATCCAGTGAGTAAGTGCTACAATGGATGTTCCCTTTTGTTCTGGGTAGAATCGGACTGCTGGAATTATTTACTGGGAAATGATTTGGGTCGCCTCCATGAGCCTGGCTGTTGCATGCACGGAGCATTATGTTTGGAAAGAGAAATAAATTAAGAGGGATCTTAGATTTCAAATGTTAAGGAGAAGGAGAGGGTTGGAGGCAAAGAGGCTCTTCAACTCTCAGAGCACCATATCCATGGATGAAGCCTCGTCTTATGGTCAGGAGAACTTCTGTGAACCTCAGAGCCACATTGAGGTTCAGAAAAACGCTGGCGGTGGGGCTGTGTGCACTGTGGAAATGGATGGAGCCAAATGTGGTACCCAAAATATTGGCCTGTTGTAGCATAACACGTTCAGCTCCAGCACAGAAGTCTTGAAGGAGGCATCGAGGAGAGGAAAATGCCTCTCCCGTGTCTGGGAAGCCACCCAGGGGAGGTGTTAGAAAAGGACAAGTGGCCAACAAAATGAACATGCATTTCAAATTTGCTCAGCTGATAGGAGAAGCTCCTTTGAAAGAAAGCAAAATTAGGTAAGCACCACTGTAAATAGTATTGTGTGTTTTCTGTGCACCACAAGTATAGCATAATCTCTGTGTCTCTGATTAGCATGTTTATGCATTTGATCATCGGTGGTCCATTAAAAGGAATCATCTTAGAACAGCAGAACTGGAAGGATCCATATGGATCGTCAAGTCCAGCCCTTGTTAATGAGGAACAGTGGGGGAATTGAACTCCCAAACTCTGGCTCTTCAGCCAGATCACGAGGAGAAAAAGAGCTTATCTGGGTCTTTCCTTAAGACATGGAAACATGGGGGGAGGAGACTCCCATTCCCTTTATGTGCAAACCCCATGTTCTACCACTGAGTGCTAATCCCTCAAGGTCTTCACCATCCTGATCCCACCATCCTGGGGCGTTGTGTTCATATTTGCTCCAATCGGTTTGGGCCCTTTTTGAGATGGGGGCACCCAGAGCTGTCTTTATGAACCCACCTGACATTTCAAGAGAAAACAGAACTATTCCTTCCTGTGACCTCTGTACCATCCTTCAGTTGCAAGGACTAGTTTTCAAACGATTACTGCAAAAGCTCATTTAAAAAAAAAAAAACAAAGACATCCATCAACGCACAATCCTTGGGTTCCTGGCTGTTGTGTGGATGATAAGAGCAATGGGAATGAGCAGACCTCAGCCTGGTGGTTTGAAATACAGTCGTGCCCCACTTTACGATTGCCCCGCATTACGACGAATCTCCATTACGACAATCTTTTTTGTGATCGCAAAATGATGGTCTGAATAGGGTTTTTTTGCTTTGCGATAATCTGTTCCCTGCTTTGGGAACCGATTCTTTGCAAAACGACAATTTTCGGACAGCTGATTGGCGGTTTCAAAATGGCCGCCAGGTAAATAAAATGGCTCCCCGCTGTTTTCTGGGACGGATTCCTCGCTGCACAGGCACCGAAAATGGCCGCCCTGTGGAGGATCTTTGCTGGACAGTGAGTTTCCAGCCCATTGGCATGCATTGAAGGGGTTTCAATGCGTTTCAATTGGCTTTTTATTTTCGCCTTACAACATTTTCGTTCTACAGCGATTTCACTGGAACAAATTAACGTCGTAATGCGAGGCACCACTGTACTTGATTCTTGGTACTGCAGGGCTGGAAGGGACTCTATGGGTCATCAAGTTCAGCCCCGGTCAAGGAGGTCTAGTGAGGAATTGAACTCTCAAACTCTGGTGCTACAGATGCTGAAGCCACTGAGTTACCCAGTTCAAACACGTCTGTTAGAAGCAAAGGGACCTTTTTGTGCTTGGTCCTGATATTCCAGGTCAAAAAGCACCAAAAAAAAAAACCTCCTTGAGGCCCGATGCTCCCAATATGCAGACCCCTTTGGGTTGCTACATAAGGAAGAAGGTTCTCTCAGCAGATTTCTGAAGGAAAGGGGGAGGACCTAAGGAAAAACAGTGGTCGTGGAAAAGTTGGCATCAGATCCAAGGCCTGGTTTGAGCAATTTGTGATCATGCGGATGTCTGTTTGTGTGAGTCAATCTTCTTCCTCGATTTCATTTCCCCAAAGCATGTCGGCCCAAAGCAAATCAAGCGGTGGTACCTTGCCAAGCTGGGCAGCACATCAACACGACGTTGTGCCTTAAACACGAATGCTGTGTTTCTTCCAAAGAGCAGTTGGACTGCTACACACCCCTCGAAGACCGTAAGTGGCACCCCCCACCTTTGGGTACTTGGGGAGGCAACTTTTGTGGAGGCTTGAACCTAGATTTCTGGAGTCCAGCCGGATCTCTTGAGCACTAGATCCCAGCGGGCGATCTTCCTGTCCTTTGACCATGAACATTTTTGCCTTTCAACTCGTGTTCACTGAAAAAGCAGGCAGATGGGGAAGAACACAAGCAATGCCGGGGGAGGGGAGGGGGAGTCCCATCCAAATAGGACGAGGAAAGAATTTTTCACCTATTTCCTTAAGTTTTCAGTGAAGTACAGTGGGGGCCCCATTTCTATGGGGGATTCGTTCCAGGCACCCCTGCAGATGCTGAAAACCGTGGATAATAGCAAACACGTAGAATAATCTCTGTCCCCCTTTAGTGGCCAGTTCTGCATCATGGAAATACATATTTCTGGGGGTGTGCACTTCTATTTTTGAGTAATTGCAGCTCCTGGAAGCTTCTAGAGCAGCCATTCTTGAGCTTTTTTTTTCCTTTTGGCCATGGC